TTTTTTTTTAACGATTTTATTTCTATAAGCACTGTGTCATTATTACATCTAATAAAGAACTATAATTCCTTAACCTTTAGCTCATGTTTAAAATGCCCTGATTGTATCAAAGATCTTTTGACAATTGGCTCACTTAAATCAGGATTCAAATGTTTTTTGCATTTGCTAAAGTCTTGATTTCTAATGCTTTAATATTCTACTTTCCTTTTAATTTTCATGCCATGAACTTGTGCAGAAACCAGGTCAGAATATCCACATTTTAAGTTTGGCTGATTGTGGTGATAGCCTGTCCCGTTTCTGGTAACCTGGTAATTTGACCAAGGCTGGATTAGGCTAATTCTTTTTCTTTTTTTCAAGCAAGAATTTTTCATGGAGAGTACTTAGTGATATGAAAATTGGTTGGTGGATTCAGGCTGTGTCAGCCTAAGCTATCACAAAGTTACCAATAATATTTAACCCAACTGTTTTAGCACTATGTCATGATTATTGCCTGACTTGCAAAATCATGCTTTTCTAATGTTATCTCTTCTATTTATTAGTTGGAATTCTTTTATAAAAATAACTTTTTGTGATGGATGTTAACTAGACTTATTGTTTCACAATATATTTCAAATCATTATGTTGTACACCTGAAACTAATGTCGATTATATCACAATTTTTAAAATATAACTTTACCTACTATTTGGTTACCTGGAATATAACCCATTAAGGAAAGACCAGGAAAATATTTGATTATTTCCTTTTATTTATTAATGCTCAGAGTAAACTCATTGATTCCCTACAAAACTTCAATGGCAACAAATGTGTTATTTTCCTTAAGTATCATTATTAATGGATTTTTAGATTTTTTAATGTTATAACCTATTAGTCATATTTCTTTTCATGTTCAAATTGTTTTATCTTTAGCCAGTAGGGTCCCTTGTACAGTTGTTACATGACCTCAATAGTCTGAAAGTTTCCTGACTTCCAGGCATAAGATGTCCAAGCTTATCTTTCCTGCTCCAGATCTGGAACCAGCCATTTATCAAAGTAGTCTTGATTTTAATTTTTAATTTGTTTAAATTAGAAAATGGTATTTAGAGATCAAATCTGTTCACCAGGGTTGTTCATTACCACTAGGTTGGTCATTGCTTCTAGGCAGAATTGAAAAATACATTATTTTTTTTGTCCTGGCCAGGTAGCCCAGTTGGTTAGAACATCATTCCAATACAACAGTGTTTTGGATTCATTCCCCAGTAGAGACACATAAAAGAATCAACCAATGAACGCATGAATAAGTAGAACAAGTCAATGTTTCTCTTTCTCCTTTTCTCTCTAACACAATCAATAAATTTAAAGAATTTTTAATTTCTTTTTAAACAGAAAAATACATACTTCATTCCACTAATTCATCTAAAATTATGTCTTTAATACTTGTAACTGATACATTGAAAATATTAATTCCTAATGCCATTAACATTTTTTATTTGCTGTATCCTAAAATATATCAGTTTCAAAATAGCAATAGCAATATTACTACTAACAATAAAACTAATAAATGCAATTTAATATTTCTATGCAGTTCTAGCTAAGTCTATATCCCATTAGGGAGATACAGCAAAAATACTTATAATGCCACTTGAAATTGTTTTCTGTTATACCATTAACCTGAAATTTGTTTCTATTTGTTTTTAATTTTTATGGAGTCTTTTATTCTTTTTATTAAACTGTCATATAAATATGCAAAATATTTACAAAATTCCAAAATAGTAACTATATAATGTAGATTCACAGAAGTCTCATTTCCATCCCCGCCTGCTCCAATGCATCCTGTAAACCATTTTTAAAAGATTTGCAGTTGATTTTTAAAAAGCTGTGGCATATATATCCAATGGAATATTACCTGGCCATTAAAAAGAACAAAATCTTGGTATTTGCAACAGTATGGATGGACCTAGAGGATATTATACTAAGTGAAATAAGTCAGTCAGAGAAAAACAAATACCGTATGATGTCATATGGAATCTAAAGAATATGAACAAACAAAACAGAAACAGATTCACTTATACAAAGAACAGACTGATGGTTGCCAGAAGAGAGGAGGGCTATGTGAAAAAAATGAAAGGGTTGAGAAGTACTGATTCGCAATTACAAAATAGTCATGGGGATATAAAGTATAGCATAGGAAATATAGTCAATAATATTGTAATAAACATGTATGGTGCCAGTTGGGTACTGGAATTTATCACGGGGAACACTTTGTAAAGCATATGATTGTCTAATCATTATGTTGTACACCTGAAACTTATATAAAACAGTGAATGTAAACTGTAATTGAAAAAAATTTTTTAAAGATTGGGACTTATTCTTCCATTAACTTTTAAGTATAAGCAATTAATGTATATTTATATATCCTGATTGTGTACACAGAAAAAAACCATTCTATAAACACTATTATGCACCTTATTTCACTTTATATACACATCACTTAATATTAGTCCATTAGTATATAAGAAACCTTCTATGTATTTTTTTTTTTTGTTAGGAGAAATTAAGCCTTATTTATTTTTTAAAACGAGACCACTAGGAATATATATCAGTCCTGAAAGAGCAAACAGACTATATTATCATTTCAATAAGGTAGTAAAATGACAAGGTCCTTATCAGAACAGTAAGATGCCAGAGCTGGGGTAGGAACACTGCATGTTGCAAGAGCCACATATCTTTTTAGAGCTGCACAGCACTCCATTCTATATATTGTAATTTGTTCAGTCAGTTATTGACATGTGTGAGTAGCTTCCACTCTTTTGCTAAAAATAATGCCGTGATGAATAGCTTTGTGATAACAGCTTTCTGTATTTTTGCCAATATATCACTAGGGTAGATTTCTAGAAGTTAAGGATCTAACCTAGAAATTACTGGGTTAAAGAGTGAAAACATGTAATGTGGCTACATATTGCCATATTTCCTTAATCAGAGTTAATCATTTTGCTTTCCCATTAATGATGCATCACTGCACCCGAGAATACCATCCTCAGGTATATTTTGGTACTGTATCAGATAGGAACGGCGGCAGAGATGAATCACAGGCAAGGTTACTGTCTCAAGAGGCCTAGGAACTCTCACTCTAGTAGGAGCTCTATGGGCAAACAAGTGATATAATGTAATAAGCAGGGATTGATTTACCCTGAAGCAAATAAAGCTTAAGCTTCAGAGTGCCTCACTTAGAAACCCTTTCCAAGGCCTAGCCTCGTGTTTACAGAACCATTCTGTATTCTTTTTCCTAAAGAGGACACCCCAAATTGTTTAAGTTTCAGGTTCCGTATGTCCTGAATCCACCTCACAGGCTTTAGATTCAGCCTTTCTTTGGGGCTGGGGGGTGGGGGTGGATTCCAAGAGTTTTGCCGCTAGCCTGAAAGCAGGGACTCCTACACTTAATGACAAACGAAAGGAAAAACTTCCTCTGGCCCAAAGTGATACTCCTCCCCTGATTCTGATCAATTACCTACAGAGCCTCTACTTTCAACAGAAACCTAGTCTTGGCTGGCTGATCTCAGTAGTCCCAGGAGAAAGATGAAGACTGGTACATGGCACTCAGGACAAAAGTCGGGAACAAATTACAGAGCAGTTCTGGGGGGTGAAGGAAGAATACACCAGGAAAGTGGGTATTCAAAGCAGGCCCCACACCTTTCAGTCAAATCGGAGGTCTGTTTCCTTACTCGTAAAAATAGGGTTAAATAATAAAGCCTACCCTTGTGTGGTTTGGTTTTGATTAGGCGAGATAACCTAACCCAGTTCCAAACTCTAGAGGTAAGGTCAATAAAGGGCAGAAAGTAAAACGGGTAATTGGTTGATCCTTGAAGGCAGTGACAGATTCTTTGCATTTTTGCATTATACAGCAATCACCTTATTGACAAATAGTGGGTGCATAATAAGTGAAGAGGGAATGGACATTTCTGGTGTATGCTTACTGATCTGCGTTAACTAACTGAATGACAGACTGGTCCTGGTCTCTGAGTAACTGACAGTCCCGGGCTGGCTCTGGAGAATGAGCGCTGACTTGTGACTGACGGCTGTCGGGTGGCCCAGTGACTCGGGCTGACCGCAGGGCCCCGAAAGACTGGCTGTGTTCGCTGTCAATCCTGGCCCCGGCCGGCTCAGACCTCCGCCTTTCGCCGCGCGCCAGCTGGATCCCGACTCTCCAAAAGCCAGAGGATGCGGCCGCCGCGCAGGATGTGCGCGGGCGGCTGCAGTCAGGTGTGGGCGCCACCGCGCCTTCCTTCTCGCCCCGGGCAGGGCGCCCCCCGACTCCAGGCGGTCGCGGCCCAGGAACAATGAGGCGCCGGCTTCTTTAAGGGAGATACCACCGCGCCGGCGGGGCAGGGGACAGCGTCTTCCCAGATGATTGCACCCAGCCCAGCGCCGCCGCCGCCTCCTCGGCAACTGCACCGCCCGCAAACATGGCTCAGTGACTCTGACAAAAGGTGCACCCTCCCTCCCGGCGGGGCGGACGCCAGGCCTCCCAGCTCCCGCCGCGCCTCCCCGCGGGCCCGCCAAAGCGCTCTGCGTCCCGCACGCACCCCAGGTCCGCGCCGAAGAAGATGCACCAGGCGTCCCACCCCAGCGACTCTCGCACACCTGCCCGCCGGTCGGTAGGTCGGCAGGGGGCGATGGGGGAGGGGCGGTCGCGCCGATCGCGCCCACCGCGGGGCCTGGATCTGCAGCCTAGGGCCAGCCCCGGGGCCGCGGGCCTTGCGCGCCTGCTGCCGCTGGAGCACGACTACGTCCCGAACGTGCAGTGGCCTCCTTGCTCCCGGGCCTGGCCTCCCCTGCGTGGAGGGACAGGAGTGGTGCGTGCCGAAGCGCGCACACCTTCCCCGACTCCCGGCTCTTGAAAGCCAGAGGAGAGGGGAGGTGGCCAGGAGAGCCCGGGGCGCGCGCCCAATAGGGACGGCGCGGGGCGTCCGGGTTCGCGCTACGGAAAGCCGGAGGGGGGCGGGGCCGCGAGGCGTAAGGGTGTGTGTCCGCGCACCGCGGGGGCGCGCGCCGGCCTCTGACTGGAGGCCGCGGCGACGGAGGCGCGAGCTGCCCGATAATGGCGGCCTGCAGAGCCCGTGAGAGGGAGAAGCGGCGGTGGCTACCCTGAGGTAAATCCGGCCCTTCAGCCTGGCAGAGAGGCCCTGCTGCAGAGCCGAGGGTACTGCATGTGCCCCCCTCTCCAGGGGGCCTGTCACAGACCTGTCAGCGGAGTCAACCTGGAGAAGGCCTCGCGCTCCTCAGGCCTCCGACTGGCACACCTCAGGCCACCGGCCCCATCTGCGGCCTCCTCTTATGACCCTGGCCTCGGCCTCCAGCCCCGAAAGGTTGGGGCAGCCGCAGGACTGGCCCCTGCGGGTGAAAGGCCTCGGGAGAATCCCCTCCGGGTTCCGTCTGGACGCAGCTGAGGAGGGGGTGGGTCTGACACTTGGCCAATGAGCTGGGCCCTGAGCCTCCGCGCCGGGCTACACCTCTGCCCAGGACTGGCCCTTGCCGGGCACCAGCAGGTGTGTGGCCTGGCCAGCCCGCGTCCGAGCGCTGAATTAGCACAGCGGGCGTGAGGGCCCGGGAAATGCCTGCCCAAGTCGCGGAGGTCCGCACAGGATGTATTACCGTGCTGCTTTGATCCGGATCGCAAGGATTCCATAAACACCCTCCCCCATATGGGACAGCTTCAAAGACACAGCCACTTTGAGATGGACAATAATTGGAGATCCACGGAGAGCACAAAAGAAAGTCTACTGTGTAGTCGGGGCACAAGATTCTGGGCCAGGAAATCAGACCCTAGGAAATGCACTAGGAATTTGCAGGGTGGGTGTCCAATCAGAGAAAGTGGCACTAAGCAGCAATCTCAGACTCTTTTGTTTTCTTTATTAAATCGATACTGTGGACTTAAAGTAGCTCTTCCAAATTTCTCAGGCTCAAGGGTCAGTAGCGTTTTGTTCCCCCAAACAAAGAGAGCCCCTTGATTTGTAGGACAGTTTTTGTTGGCAAAAATGACGTAAACCTAAATAACTTGTTAAACGATAGGAAGGTAATCATATTTGAAGTAGCTTCCTTTATTTTTAAGGGAACGTTTTTATCCGCAAACTTTATTTTCATTTAGTTTGCAAGAAATAAGGAAGTAAAATTAAAATAGAAACATGTATTTTGACTTTTTACTTTCAAATAATAAAAATAATACATATTTTCAGTTTTATGTGTGATCTGGTTCACTTTCAGTCCCTAAACATAAACCAGCTGTTTGTATTTCTGTGAGCGGTTTTTGCTTTTTGTTTTTATTTTTGCTGTTTCATGACATATTATGTATGTGTCAGCTTTCAAGAGAAGTTGGAATTTGGTTTTTCGTGATCAATAAGTAAAACTGCTGAATTTTTTAGTTTATCTTTAACATATTTTAACATATTTAATGTATATAATGGTATATTGAAACAGTGTGTGTAAGAGGCAATATAGTGTAGTGGTTAAAATTACAGGTGGCAGAGCCAGATGGCCTGGTTTCAAATCTCTGATTCTAGCTGACCTTGGACATGTTGCTTAAACTCTCCATGCTTTAGTTTTCTCATCTATAAAATGACCATAATAGTATCTACTTCATAACATTATTATGAGGATTAAGTAGATTAATAGTGTATCTGACAAAGGGCTGATATCTAGAATATACAGTGGGGCAAAACTAGGTTTACAGTATGGAAAAATAATACAATAGTAAATAATACAGGAATAAACTGTTCTGCATACTCACAACTGTAAACCTGCATTTGCCCCACCTGATATAAAGTGCTTGGTTCCTGATACATGGTAAGTACTACGTAAATATTAGCTGCTTTACTGTTATTAAAATATTTAGATTTACCCAAGGTACAGCAGATAACTTTCAAGCACTGTAAACAGTGAGGCAAATGATAACTATACTTAAGATAATACAAGCCACTATGCAGGCTTAATTTCATTAGAGCACTTTGTTTATTTTTCCAGAAACCCTGACCTTGAAGATGGTGAGTAGCCAGCCAAAGTACGATCTAATACGGGAGGTAGGCCGAGGTAGTTACGGTGTTGTGTATGAAGCAGTCATCAGAAAGACCTCTGCACGAGTGGCAGTGAAGAAAATTCGATGCCATGCTCCTGAGAATGTTGAACTAGCCCTGCGTGAGTTCTGGGCACTAAGCAGTATCAAGAGCCAACATCCAAATGTGATTCACTTGGAGGAATGCATCCTGCAAAAAGATGGGATGGTGCAAAAGATGTCCCATGGCTCTAATTCTTCCCTCTATTTACAGGTACGTGTGGTTGAATGCGAAATATAAATGATTTGAATGTAGCATTGGTGTGCAAGAAGAGAAATGAAAGAGTCAGATGAACTACTTTTAAATGCAGGTTTTTATATAGTTAGGAATAGATAGGAGTCTGCCAAAAATTGAGTAGATGTTTGCTTTAAAACAAGGTTTTATTTAAACCTGTGATGCAAATACCTAAAAATAACATAAGCCACCTGTTATACTATGATACTTGCCAATTTGCATAGGAACAGGGCACCGTAAGAGCTAGAGAAGTGATCAAGACTAGAGTCTAATAAGTTGATTTATTTGAAATCAGTTTGTTTTTTTTTGAACTGAAGACAGAAGAAAAGGAAAAACTCCACAACCAATAGCAGCACCCATGGATAACTGGGCATTGGTTTGAACATAAGCCTCTGCTGTTTTACAGGGTTATATGGTTTCTTAACCATTCAGTTCCACTTAATTTTCATGAAGTATGTGGCTTAACACCTCAATGTTATTAATAATGATAAAGCTAACATTTGGGTTCCTACTTAGTTCCATGCTCTGTGCTAAGTGCTTTAAAGGAATAATACTTGTTCAGAATAATACTTGTCCCATAGACTGAAGGGTCAGAGGTTCAATTCCTGGTCAGGGCACATGCCTAGGCTGCAGGTTCAGTTCCCTGACGTGCATTCAGTAGGCAACCAATGGGTGTTTCTCTGTCTCCCTTCCTCTGTCTGGAATCAATGGATATACCCTTGGGTAAGGATTATTATCATTATTATTAAAAATAATAATACATTTTTAAAAAATGCCCTGGCTGGTGTGACTCAGTGGATTGAGTGCCGACCTGCGAACCAAAAGGTTGCCGGTTCAATTCCCAGTCAGGGCACATGCCTGGGTTGCACACCAGGTCCCTGGTAGTGGGGTGCACAAGAGGCAACCACACATTGACGTTTCTCTCCCTCTCTTTCTCCCTCCCTTCCCCTCTCTCTAATAATAAATAAAATCTTTAAAAAAATAAAAAATATATATTAAAAAAGGCTTACGGGCTGGGAACAACAAAGAAAACAAAACACAATATGTGTGTAACTAGAAACTTGCAAGTTTCATTTTATGGTGAACATTTATACCAGTCTTGAGAGTCTAATTTACATCGCAGTTTAAAATGCTATGCCCTGAAGTTTTCTCTCCTAAGACTGAATACAAAACACAACTATTTTGCCTCTGTTTTCTAAAAGTGATTATTTTGTAAGTTGCACTCATAGAAAATATCAGAAACATTCTTATTACCACATTTCCTCTAAAAAGTGTATAGAACTTTACTGAACTTTGCAGTGAATTTTGGAGACCAAAATGCATAATCTTTTTCCAGAAGACATTTAAACATATGACTTAGTGCTGATGTTATTCTTGAGCCCAGGTCATGCAATCTTTGTAGTAACCAGGCATTAGTTGGCCTTTCAAGGCTTTAAGATGTTAGAACTTCCAGACTTGATTCAGTGATTTTTTTATTTTAATATAAAGCACCCTTTTTTTAAGTAGTGTCTTTCCTCTTTTAGAGCTTGGTAGATTGGTGTTTGACTTGTGGCACTTTATGCTAGGTGTATGATCTTGACTAAATAACCTAACTTTTTCCAGCATCTATATCTTTGTATGTAAAATAGGAATAATAATTTCTACCTTCCATGGGAGTTGTCAAAATTAGAGGTGATGCAGATACAATATTTGGCACATAGGAAGTACTCAGTGGTAGGTAGCTCCATTAAAATTGTTATTTCTAGCCATGGCCAATGTGGCTCAGTTTGTTGGAGTGTAGTCCCGTAAACCAACAGGCCACAGGTTTAAGCAGCTGATCGATGTTTCTCTCTCTCATTGATGATTCTCTCCCTCTCTCTCCCCCTCCCTTCCCCTCTCTCTGAGATCAGTGGGCATATCCACAGGTGAGGATGAAAAGAGAAAAAAAAATTCCAAAAATTGTGGAAGTTCAAAAGGAACATCTGAAGAGGCTATGGAAACTCTTTGGCTTCCCTGCTAAGTTTCTATTAAACTCATGGGTCTGAAGAGGACACCATAAGACAAATGCTTTCGAAGTACTATATGCTGCCTGTATTTTAGAATGGTAGTTCATGTTCAGTGAAGTAATTAATATTCTTGAATTTCAGGTAATAGGAGAGTTATAATTAGATAATGATAACAAATAAAACTGATTTATTCTAGATTTCAGCTTGTCTCACAAATATACAAACTCAGATTTGAATTTTTATATCAAAATACAAATATAACTGTTATAAATTAATTTTAGAAGCCATCCAGTAATAGAGATAGCCAACATATTTGCATTCTGTCTGTGGAAGTGTATGAAGTAATGATGTCAGCCTTTTTTTCATCAGTGACTACAGGAGCACTTTATTTCTATAATAACTAGTGGTTCCTTGATTATTTTTTCTCTTGATTTCTCAGATGATGTTAATAGTGTATGTGCAATGGGTAAAATATTTTAGGCAGTACATATATATAGCAATGTCTTCAGAAACAGAAGAAGAAACAGAAGAAAATAATAAAATATTTTCATTTAATAGAATTTCCTAATTGATGTTTATATCCCAGCTGGCAATCTCCCAATGCGTAGCTACTGGAACATGGATCTTTTCATGAAGCTATTAGCTAAATGAGTAAAGTTCAACTCCACTGACACATGCAGAAAATGTACAGCCAGTTGGACACTTTTCAAAATAAAGCTATTTTTAAGTAAGTTGTTACCTCTTGACTTAGGTATTTGGTATGTATTCATTAGGGACAAAGTGACAGTTTGAAGTACTAAAGTTTAAAATAAAATGAACATATGAAAACACTGACTGAATAAAATATGTATGGAATATCCACATAAAATTGGAGACTAACTTAACCAGCTACTTTTTTTATATACCGTATTTTGCCATTTATAATGCACACTTTTTTGCCCAATTTTTTTAGGGAAAAATAAGGATGCACATTATACATGGGTAGTACTAGTTCCATAACTATATAAATGTTTTTAATTCTTTTATTTATGCTTATGCGTTAAAAGTGTAACTCTAGAAAGCAATAATGATATCCATGTGTTCAAAAATAAATGCTAAAATTCCTTTATAATACAAAAAACCAGTAACCAAAAATAAATAAATAATTGGATTGAAACTTTAGAATGAAAGATATTTTTCCCTGAAAGTTTGGGTCAAAAATATGGGTATGCATTATACATGGCAAAATACAGTAGCTAAATTGCATAAACTGTACAAATGATTGTATTCTGTTTTCTTTTCCTTCTTATAGCTTGTAGAGACTTCATTAAAAGGAGAAATTGCCTTTGATCCCAGAAGCGCCTATTACTTGTGGTTTGTGATGGATTTTTGTGACGGAGGAGATATGAATGAGTATCTGTTGTCCAGAAAACCCAATCGTAAAACTAACACCAGCTTCATGCTTCAGCTAAGCAGTGCCCTGGCTTTCTTGCATAAAAACCAGATCATCCACCGAGATCTTAAACCTGATAACATCTTGATTTCTCAAAGCAGGTTGGATACCAGTGACTTGGAACCCACATTGAAAGTGGCTGATTTTGGTCTAAGTAAAGTGTGTTCAGCCTCTGGACAGAACCCAGAAGAACCTGTCAGTGTAAACAAGTGTTTCCTTTCCACAGCCTGTGGAACAGATTTCTACATGGCTCCTGAAGTGTGGGAGGGACATTACACAGCAAAAGCTGACATCTTTGCTCTGGGGATTATCATCTGGGCAATGCTGGAAAGGATCACATTCATAGACACAGAGACAAAGAAGGAACTTTTGGGGAGTTACGTAAAACAAGGAACTGAGATTGTGCCTGTTGGGGAGGCACTTCTGGAAAATCCCAAAATGGAACTTCTGATTCCTGTGAAGAAAAAGTCTATGAATGGGCGAATGAAACAACTGATTAAGGAAATGCTGGCTGCAAATCCTCAGGATCGTCCAGATGCTTTTGAACTAGAACTCAGATTAGTACAAATTGCATTTAAAGATAACAGCTGGGAAACGTGACACATACATTATTTGCAAATATATTGGATGATATGCTGCTTCTGTTTTAACAGTGATGCAACATAATGTGGCTGAAAAAGAATATACAAAAATGAACTCCACCTTCTAAGGGGTTAGAGTTTATTGTGGGATGTTTTTTTCCTCATTTTTCTTAAAGTCCAAGCTGGCCATTTTGTTAGTATGTTTTAAATGTATTACCAATGTGGGTGTAAATTTTTTTTTTAGTGATCATTGGTAGAAGTTTGGCAGGAAATTTCTCTTAGAGCCAAGAAGAAAAGAGAGTCCAGTTTTCTGGAAATATGTCTCTTAAGTATTTTAGACATTCCTTGTCAGTATTAGGAATTTCCATGGAAGAAGAGGTTTGCATGCTGGTAATGCAACCTTTGAAGCTTTGTAAAGGAAACATATATGTATATATTTATGTATATGTAAGTATGTGAATGTGTGCATTTTGCATTCCATATGAAGAAAATGCCACTTCTGTTTAAATTATTTGATGTAGGTTTGGGTTTTTTGAGATTTGCTGGTGAAATCAGTGATGAGAAATAAAAGAACCTTCCTTCATCATCCTACCCTGTCCCTCCCTCTAATGAAATCATACTAAGTTTTTTATTTTTGTAATATACAGTTTTTGTTAAAGGGATCATTTTGGAGGGTCTAAAATAATCTGATTAAACATAAATGAAATTAAGTGATCCAAAGCTGCTGAAGTATGTTTGAGCTCTCCAGTGCCCTATAGCTGCAGGAATAGAATTAGCCATGCAATTGTGTGGTAGCAGGTTGGCAAGGATATTGATGATTCAGTCATACCTTCTTTAGGTAACCAAGCATTCAATTAACCAATTAAACCACTGCACTGGGATATGTCTGCACTTGAGTTATCTGCCATCTGAATACAGGATTCTTCTGTTTCTGAAGACATTGCTATATATATGTACTGCAATACTTGATATATTAATTTTTTATTTCAAGACTTTATGTCTGAGCCTCAGCATAAAATTGAAGAAACCAAATGAGCTCTATCCTCACATTACCTGCCCTGATAGGGTCTGTTGTTTCATCACTGGAATTCCTTTCACTTTAGCACTAATGCTGTCTTCTCTTGTCTAATTTGACACAGTAATGGTAGTGATATAGTTGTATTAAATGTTGATCACCTTTTTCTAATGTGGGAGATGATACCTATATAGTTTGGCAAATGGATAATATATTGTGGCATCAACTATATCTTTCAATTAAAAAAGTTAGAGATTTTATACAATCACTTGGTATGGTCTATGTCAAAACCAGTAGACCATTATTCTGGAAGTCAGTTTGATTTTAACCCTACATGGTTGCCTCCAGTTTGATTTTCTGTAAATGGAGATAGTTAATATCTAAGGAAAGAGGGTTTTCCTAAAACAGAACATTAAACTTTAAGGTTGGAGAGAACTTAAGACTGTGTATCTAGGTTAATCTTTATTAAAGCACTAGAATCTTTGGTCAAAATTATTTTAAAAGATTAGAATATTGAAATAATTGATAGTTTGCATAACCTCTTCAGATGTTCCCTTTGACCTCCCACAACTTTTGGAATATTGCTATCATAAATTTTTCCTTATTTAAAATTTGTTCAGAGGAGGTGAAAAAGCACAAAGAAATTAGAGTATATAAAATCACTGAACTATGTGTTACTTGATCCGGAGGTTCAAAACTTGAACTAAAAGGTTTTATTGAAATAAAGCCTTTTAAAATAAAAACAAAAAAATATCATATTAACACCATTTTCAAGATAACAAGAGGTGGAACACTGGCACCTCATGATATTTGTCCCTCTGGATCACCGAATTAGTATAACACAGATCTGGCCAAAGGGATTGAGTTATTGGAAATAAAAAACATCATTATAACATCTGTCAATAACATGACAGAGGTTCACGATTCAGGTGATAGTATGCCAGTACTCCATTTGCTCTTTGAATATCTCTATGTGCTTGGAGCCAGGGTTTCCTAAGCACATAGTTTTTGGTCCTGCTTTATTTAAAAGTTAATTATAATTTATTTTGAATGATTTTACCTGTGAAGCAGAATTCTTTCTTTCATTGGTGGTAAGGGTGTGAGGTGATCAGGAAGTTTCTTCTGGAATTTTCTTGCGTCCTTGTATTCTAAAATAGACTATGATACCAAGCAAAATGATAGTAAATTATTTGTCTTTATTTGTTCTTTCAGTCGGAGGTATTTATTAAGTACCTACTCTGTGCTCAGCACTAAAGGTCAGTTGATAAAATGACAATTTAAAAATGGTATAGCCACAGGTCTTTTTCCAGCCAGGAGTCGGAAATACAAGATGATTAGTGATACTTGAAAATTCCTGGATATTTGCTAGAGGAAAAATGAAAGCAAGAATTTGTGCGTAGTGCCTTGCCCATAATAGGTACTCAATAAACAATTATTCTTCATAGAGTCTCTTGCCATGGTTTATAGTGTTTTATGAAATTTGTCTTAATTGAAAAAAGACCAAATATTTCAAATAAGCTTATAGGCAGCTGTGGCCAGTTAAAATATGGGGTTGTACAGTTAGTTCCTAGAATGTTATTTTGCACTAGTCGTCACTTAGAAAGATGGGGGTTCCTGTAGATTTTTTGGTGCTAAGGGATACTTTGTCATTATGATAAAGTAAGTGTTAAGTGTCAGATAAATAGCACACTGAATTGTTTTTTCTCCTGGTCTGTTTTTTCCTCTTTGTTGTTGTTTTTAATTGTAAAATGTTTATCAAACTATTGTAGCAGCTACAAAATAATTCACCAGCATGACAAAATGGTCAAAAAATAAGTCATCAGCACTTCAAAAATGAAAGCAACTTTTGAAATTTTCTTTTAAAATTGTTGAATATATTTTATGAAGAATTTATAAAAGGGGGGAAATGATTGTAATTTATTGTTCATGACTGTTTTGTTTTTTTTTTAAATAAAGTGAGTTTCAACAAAAGAAAACCCTGAGAATTCTACATTACTGCTTTGGTGGCGCTCTGAGTAGTTCTGTAGTGCTTTACTTCATGAACGTAATAGAGGATATAAAATTTGAAACAATGTCATTTTCAGCCTTATCAAATTAAACTTTCTATAATAGAAGCTATTACTGAGGAAAATATGATTGAATTATAGGAGTTCCTTTCTGCATTTTTAAGTTGTCTAAAATTTTAGTGCTTACTGTCTTTCAGTATTTGTCAAAAGAACTTGTTTTGCCTGAATTTTTAATTTATCTTTCTCATTAAGCTGAGGATGCATTCCAGACTCAGAATGAAGTAAAGAAGATGCAGTTTTTCAATCTGTAACTTGAGACATGGTTTCTTTTTCATAAAATCATCTGGCCCACTTTTTTCTTTGCTTTATACATTTTATTATGTTTTCCTTCTCCAGTATAAACAAAGTACTGAGGATACAGTGCACCTGGTGGTCCGATAGAATAGCAGAGGGAAAATGGGAGACAGAAAACATTAATTTTACATTTGATCTAGTGATGAGTAGGAAAGTAGGCATCAGTAATTGTCGCTGCTTCTGACTCCCACCTTTTCCTGGTATAGCCTTTGTAGACGGCAAATTTTGCTTTCTGTTTGAAGACTGATTTTTTAAATCTTAAACTATAAATATTTGGATTTACTGGGCTTTTTGTACTGTAACACTTTGTAGTTTACAAAGTGTCTTCACATGCTTTTGCATATGTTTTCAATAGGTTTTACTTAAAATATGGGCTGATTTCTCATTGAGGAATTTTTAGTAATAACACCAGTTAGTGAGGTAATAATGGTTTTACTTTAACACAGGGTTTAGTGCCTAATCTTTGACCCCAGTTCGAGTTTTCTCTAACAACAAAGCTTTATCTTTCTCACCGTAGTAATGACCCTTAGCTATTTTGGCCTTTTCTTTAAATTCAAATGTTGCTCTCCGTCAACCAATCATAGATGTCTGCAAAAGTGCAGTGTAATGATAGACAGTTGGTTTGTGGTTAGATAATAACTCCTACTTGAGAGGCTTACAGACCACACCTCTTGAGGGCAAAGTGCGTCTTTTAAAGGCAGTACTTTCCCTGTAACAATGATTTTTCATTGGTTAGAAGGGAAATTTTTTTAAAGAGATGTGCAGGCTTTTGTTTGACTTCACACTTTCATTTCCTGTTCAGCCCCAGTATTTCAAGCCTAGCTTATCCTGAACAGAAGTTAGGCAATTTGCTATTGCCAAAGGCATCGTGGCATAGTAGCAGAAGTACAGGCTTTGGTGTAGCAGATCTCATATTGAATACTAGCTTTTGCAGACACCTATGTAACTAATGTGTGGCATTGGGCAAGTCACTTCATTCTGAGCCTCAGTTCCCCTATCTGTAAAATGGAGATGATATTTATGTTTCAGGTTTTCTGTAAGGGTCAGAGATAATACTCATGTTAAAATGAGAAATGTCCAAACCTGTAAAGAATTTTTTTTTAAAGAGAACAAGAGGAATATCATTTTGCTGTTCCACTTACGTATGCATTCATTGGTTGATTCTTCTATATGCCCTGAACGGAGAGATCAAACCCATAACCCTAGTGTACGAGGGCAATGCTCCAACCAACTGAGCTACCAGGTATTTTACTATAGAGCAGGACTTCTTCAGCCAGAATTCAACAAGGGAATCCAGGGTTGTCAGTGGATTGACTAGGATTGTAAGCAAAATTTTACATGTGTATGCATTTTTCCACAGAGAGAGTTCATAACTTTTCACATATTCTTGAAAAGGTCCAGAAGATCTTTGAGCGATATTTCCACTATTATAAGAACCACTGTTCTAGTCACATAAGGAACAATTGCATGAAAACTCTGGATACAGGGTAAGTGGGGTGGATGTTGAAAGGGAAAAAATGAACACCAAAGGGATTGGAAAGCTAAGTCACAGACTAGCCTAAGGAAGGCTGGAAGTGATTAGTTGTCAGCAGAGTGGTACCTATTCTTATCTAGGTCTACATGTCATAACACAACTACCTGTGTCTGCAGAGGCTCTGGTCCTTCTCCAGCTGGCTCACAAACTAACTAGTCTGCTCCAGAGATTTGACTTGACCCTGGGTCCTCCAGTTTAACAGAGGATTTCCTGAAGCTAGAGAGAGATCTGGTGAGCCCTCAACGCCTCTGATCATATCAGTACCAGTGTCAGTGAAAGAAGACACTTGGTTCTAGTTATTGCGGAAGGAATGTCAGTGCTTGTGGGCTACAATGAGCTGTGGAGAAAAAAAGAATCCTTTGAGGTTAAATTACATGTTTATCTTAGGTCCAGTCCTTAAAGAAGAAATGTCTGACTTCAGGATTTCTTTCAAGGACACAGGCCTTCAATAGAGTGATGTCTTTGGTATTCATATAATTAATCACTGTCAGAACTAACTAGGTATAATTTCCAAGAGTCCTTCCAGCTCTAAAATTCAATGATCCTAACCCTGGCTGGTGTGGCTCAGTGGATTGAGTGCTGGCCTGCGAACCAAAGGGTCGCTGGTTCGATTCCCAGTCAGGGCACATGCCTGGCTGTGGGCCAGGTCCCCAGTATAGGGTGCATGAAAGGCAACCACACATTGATGTTTCTCTTCCTCTCTTTCTCCTTCCCTTCCCCTCTGTTTAAAAATAAATAAATAAAAATCTTTAAAATAATAAAATAAAATTCAGTGATTCTCCCCATCATGGAAAATTATTAATGAAAAAAACTGTGAGAGTCACAAAGGAATGTCACACAGCCACTGCCCTTAGTTGAGAAAGTGAAGCACATAATGTATCATTAAAAATTTGTTCTAGACTTTTGGTCAAGATGGAGGCATAGATAAACATGCTTCACCTCCTCATGCAACCACAGAGAGAATTACAACTATTTCTCAAAACAAATAACAACCAGAACCACCAGAAAATCGAGCTGTATGGAGGTTTGACAACCAAGAATTTAAAGAAGCCACATTCATCCATATAGATGCCTTTTACAGAGAGTCAAAGCATCTCTATGTAATACACAGAAACAAACACAGGGAGGCTGCCCATTTGAGGAGACAAAGAAATATGACCCAAGTGAAAGAACAGAACAAAACACCAGAAAAAGAAAGAAACAAAATGGAGATAACCAACCTATCAGATGCAGAGTTCAAAACACTGGTGATCAGGATGCTCAAAGAAGTCATTGAGTACAGAAAAAAACATAAGGGAAGAAATGAAGTTTACAGTAAGTGAAATACAGAAAAATCTACAGGAAACCAACAGTAGAGAGGATGAAGCCAAGAATCAAATCAATGATTTGGAACACAAGGAAGGAAAAAAGATTCAATCAGGACAGCAGGAAGAGAAAAGAATTTTAAAAAAATGAGGAGAGGCTTAGGAATCTCTGAGACAACTTTAAATGTACCAACATCCTAATCATAGAGGTGTCAGAAGGAGAAGAGTAATACCAAGAAATTGAAAACTTATTTGAAGAAACAATGAAAGAAATCTTCCCTAATTTGGTGAAAGAAATAGATATACAAGTCCATGAAACACAGAGAATCCCAAACAAGTTGGACCCAAAGAGAATTACACTGAGACACATCATAAATAAAATGCCAAAGGTTAAATATAAAGAGAGAATCTTAAAAGCAGCAAGAGAAAAGCAGAGAGTTATCTACAAAGGAGTTCCTATGAGACTATCAACTAATTTCTCAAAAGAAACTTTGCAGGCAAGAAGGGACTATCAAGAAGTACTCGAAGTGATGAAAAGCAGGGACCTACAACCCAGATTGCTCTATCCAGGAAAGCTATTATTTAGAATGGAAGGGCAGATAAAGTACTTCACAGACAAGGTAAAGATAAAAGAATTCATCATCACCAAGCCATTATTACATGAAATGTTAAAGGTACTTATTTAAGAAAAAGATCAAATCTATGAACATTAAAAGGGCAACAAATAGACAGGAATGTCTATTTTGTAGACAAAATGTCAAGAATAGTATAGGAAATGGAGAAGCCAAAGAACTTATATGCATGGCGCATGGACATGAACTAAGGGGGAAGAATGCTGGAGGGAAGGGGGTTACCAGGCAGAGAGTGACAAAGGGAGAAAAAATTGGAACAACTGTAATAGCATAATCAATAACATGTATTTTGTTTTTTTAAATGAAATAGTAAAGCAGAATGTGCTGGGAAAATTTGCTCTAAGCCTTGGCCAGTGTGACTCAGTTGGTTGGAGCATCGTCCAGTAATTGAAAGGTTGCAGGTTTGATTCCTGATCAGGACACATACCTGGGTTGCAGGTTTGATCCATGATCTGGGCATGTATGATCCTTGGTCCAGGCACATACGAGAGGCAACCAATCAATGTTTCTCTCTCACATTGATATTTCTCTCATTCTCTCTCCAAAAAGCAATGTCCTTGAGTCAAGATTTTAAAAAAAAAATTGCTCTAAGACACCAAGATATAAGAAATGTCATATTTCTTTATTCCCAAACAGCCAAGATTACAAGGAATTCCTCCAGAATAAGACTTGAAAAAAGGTCTTTGGTCTATCTGCTGAGATGCTTATTGACCAAGTACAAATGGTCCAGTATTTCCTGTTCATGGCGTTCTCTTCATGCCGTATTCAAACACTGGGACTTTAGTCACATTCCATCTCATCAGAAGTCTCCTTGCCAGGAGTCACTATTTGAGCTTAGTTCTCACAGAACCAGCCACCTGTCCATTTCCTTCAGTCTCAGAAGATACCACCCTTGCTGAGGTAGTGTGTTTGCTCATTCCCCTGTATTTCAACTTTTTGAGCCATTTTATTGCCCTTGAGATTGAAAAGCAAAGCACTTGTTTCTCCACAGGGACAAGTAAAGCCATAGACTTCCAGCACAGAGAGCTCTATTTCCCCCTTGAAACAGCAAAAGGAAAATTGCCTCTCAAGAAAATGAGCCCTACTGTGCACCAG